CATAGTATGTACAGAAATTTTCAAAATTATGTAGAAGGCGTACAATCCGAGACTTCTCTTCTCATCGTCACTCGTTATGCGAAACTTAGCTCGTTAAGCGAGTCATTTTTCTTAAATTAATTTTGCTCGTTAAGCGAAATGCTCGTTATGCGAGGTGCTCGTTAAGCGAGTTTCCACTGTACATTAAATACTGTGGAATACCTGTATAATTTATACTCGTGAAACACTCGTTAAGCGAAACAAATTTTCACTTAGAAATCAATGTGTAATACATGCGTGACATGCTGAAAAAATACTCTTCTTATGTATTCACTTATGACAGTCATCTTGCGGCTTTTTCTTCAGGGACATTTTTGCAAGGGTTGTTAAATTTTGCATACAAAAAAAATCACACATAATATGTCTGAACACAAGTGTAATTTTGGAAAATTATGTAATATGCGCACAATCCGATACTTCCCTTCTCTTCATCACTCGTTATGCGAAACATTGCTCGTTAAGCGAGTCAATTTTGTTGTTTTTTTTTGTTCGTTATACGAATTACTTGTTAAGCGATGTTTCACTAAATATATATATATATATATGTTTTTTGTACATTTTTTTTGTTCCTAATTGCTAATATGATACAACTATATTAACTATTTTTTATACAGTGGAATCTGGTAGAAATTTCGATTCATTAAAACCTATTTTGTAGAAAATGTGAGGAAGAATCGTTTTCAAGAATTCCAGTTTATTTGATTCACTATAGAAAAATCTAATAAAAAAAACAGAATTTACTTTTTAAAATAGTCTTATACAATATTCATGTATTATTGGTTTGTTATAGTTTGGGTATTTTTTTCTATTATAAAATTTAACAATTTGAAATTTGATATTATTAATATATTATATAATTTATTTGTGAAAGTAACATGATTTAAATATTTTAAATCTGGAAATGAAAAATATAAATAATTATCATAATAACATTTATTGCAATTACTAATTTAACAAAATATTATAAGACAAATAAAACAAATTGATTTTCTGTAAAGAAAATATAAATATTTGAACAATATATTAATAATTTTGGGTTCACTTACTGCATTTGTAGATTGTTTTTTTAAAAAAATGTAACAAATCCAATTACGTTCGAACGTCAGTTCACTTGGGTTAGTTTCATTTTCTAAACCGTCGTCGTCATGTGTGTTGAATTACAGGGAGTGTGAGTGTATTCTTTAGCTACATAATATATACCTTGTACCATCAATCAGTAATCAGAGAGCCTTGGTCAAATTTACCTACTGCTCCTTTTATACATGCTTTTTTTTATTACCACGTCTTGTATTACTTTTTTACATTACTTTTGATTGAATATTCTATGTCCGGTCATTTGTAGTCCTTATATTTGAACCTTGTTATTCCAAAATTATTCACTATCATGTAATTATATAACTATGTACACTCAAACCTGTTTTTACACCATTTGAAAATAACACGGTTTTTCTCATTTTGTTTTCATTTTATTAGTGAAACAATAATAACATGAAAATTATGGAGAGACCCCGTTATACAAATTACGTCGATGTTTTCACGTTTCATTAAATTACGCGGCAGCTAATTAGATTATCAGTAAAGAAGAAAGTCTGATCTTTCCAACGAAGTTGAATGTAAACCATCTTCTCGTTTTATTTAAATCCTTTAAAATTCCTTTAATTAAATTGCATCTACGAATGAACTTGCTGCTAATAACAACTTACGAGAAAGATAGCAGATAGTGCATTTGCTGATATAGGTGAATTATCAGACAAACATCGTGAGGAAGACGAAATAATATAGGTTATTTGTGCTTCTGTTGGAAGTAAATCATCTAGTGATGACGACGAAAAAATTTCGTTTTTTCACTCACTCATTGTTAGATTAATAAAAAAGTTGAAGCCTTACTTAGCAAATTGGAAAACCATTTTCTTACACATGATCCTTTTGTTGAAAAAGCAAAATTACAAACAATTTTTTTTAATTATATTTTGTTTTTTTTTGTCAAGAACCAATCTTCTGATATTCACATTTACTGTGTTTATTTTTATACTAATCCTTCAGAAATAAATCTACGTTGTAAGAATATGTTTGAGTGTATTTTCTTTTATTAATATTAAATTTGTATAGTTTTTGAAGAATTTTATTTACAGTCTATCAAATATAGCTGTTTTTTTAATATCATAAATTACTAACAATGTTTTTTTTTAAATCATTGACCCTGACTATTTAAGAGATTTATTTTGGATATGTTAGAAAATAGTATGTTGTTTATTATTATATTTTAGTGAAAAATTATTTTCCTATGTTATATAAATATACGCACTTGATAATTTTGTATTTAATTAAATAGAAAGTCATGGGCAAGTTTTCAAACAAATCTCTTCACTATACTAATAATTAAACGCTGGTAGAAAGACTGGTTTATAGTAATTTAATTGATATTGTTAATCACTTACATATTTATATTTTTTAAAATAATGACTTCCTATTTTTTTATTTAATTACCTAATAAAAATAATAATTAATAATATTCTTTATTTAGCAGAATATACTGTACATGTATATAAAGTCATACAAATTCCAGAAAAGAGAAATAAAGATTTATGAATAAACCTTGAAAATAAGAAACATTCTATAATAAAATTAATAAACAACAACAAAAGAATAATAATTAATTAACAATCTGGCCACAGAGTTATTTAATTATTTTTATGCTAGTTAATTTTATTTTTTATGTTTATGAATTTTATATAAGTAATAATTAATTGAAAAAAATATAAATTTAAGTCGTAAATCTATTATTTAATTACTTCAAAATACGAAAAAATCATTAACACATTTGAAGTTGTTTTATAAACATTTAATTGTCTTAATATTTATTTAATTTTTTTTGAATCGTGTAATTTTATTCACAATCTGTTTATTTAAGATCACGGTTGACATTTAATGGATAATCTTTCCCGGTAGATAGTTACCAATATGATTAATTTTTTTAATTTGTTGGTTGGCTGTCATTTTGTAGGTTAACTTCAGTGTATTTTGATGCTCTGCGATTCCACTATTTCCTTTCACTGTGAATCTACTGCTATCCTTATCACTGTCATTGTCCATCGACTTGGCTGAAGGTCCATATGCTGAACCTCATTCATTTGACTGTCCATCTGTGTTGAATGATGGCCCTATTGCTACCAGGATTTGAGCCTGTGCCCACTAGCACGTGGGTAGGGCGACTTAACCATTCGGATATTAGTCGCCCATTTATTAATATAACAATTTTTATTGATCCAAAACTCTCTTAATAAATAGTAAATAATCTATAACATCTCATTACTGGTTAAAGAAATAATTATTAATAGGTTTACAATTATTGTTTCTATCACAATATGTTATTATGTAAACGTTTTCATATTATCTGAGTAACTTTTTTATATTTTTTTTTGTTAAAATTAATTACATCAATAAGAATAAATATATAATACAAAATATTTATTATTTAATTATGAACGTATAGTTTCATTTGTATTTTATGAAACAATTATTTCGAGAGATTTGAGTAAAATTCATTTATTTTCAAATCTTGTTGAGATGATTATGGTTATGTAGAGGAATTTAATAAATTATATACAATATTTTGATCAAACTTATGTATACATTTAAATTAAAGCAAATTGAACTTGTTTCTGTGTAAAATAATGATTGTTATTAAGCTATAAAACATATTTAACATAATTCAAAGTAATATTTATTTTACTGAAATATGATTTAATATGCTCAAATTATTTCTTCATTCTTGTGTAGATCCTATATATATATTGTTTACAAATTTGATAACAACTATATTAATTGATGCTCTAAACTATTTTTAATATAGTTCTTAGCTGTATTGATTTTTTTTTAAGTTTTGGTAGACATTTCAAATCATTAAAACGAATTTTGTAGAAACTGTAGAAGAATCATTTTGAAGTTTTAAGAATTCCAGTTCATCTGATTCACTATAGAAAAAATCTAATAAAACAGAGACTACAGGTATCTCCCGACTTACGAACTAGTTCCGTTCTAAAGGGTTGTTCGTAAATCGAATTTGTTCGTAAGTCGGGGGAATTTTAAAAATTTCAAAATATACTTATCTTACCACACTTTATCATGGTATATATGTTAAATTTAGTATTGCTGTATTACTTCAAGACACCACAATTATTTAATAAAAAACGACAAAAGTAACAATTTCAACAAAACAGATTGTACATCTTCCAAAATTATTATATTTTATTAAACAACTTATCAATTTTTTTGTCACTATATATCACCTTGTAACAAGTTAGATCTTTTAGAATTTTGTTCGTAGGTCAGGGAGTTCGTAAGTCGGGGGATTTACGTTTTTAAATTATCTTATATCTCTAATAATTTATACTTGAAATATTTCTTCATATTTTTTTTATAGGGTTGATCCCAAAAAATAAATTTATAAATTGTTATTTCATATTTTTTTCATAATATCTCATTGTAAAGCAGCTTTTTGTATATAATAAAACAAGAAGCTATTTAAAGACATTGCATAGTTAAAATAACTTCCGAATGCTTTTGTCCTTCCCACAATATTACATCGATGTGATTCATCGACGAGACAGACGTATTAAAAAATATGGAACATTGTCTCCTTGTTTTCTCCGAGCGATATACAATAATAACGTTGTAATTGCATTTTAATTTCATACATATTCACCGATTGATTTTTTCATTTGTAATACGGCACAGCAAGTATGAGGATCTTCTGGCTTCATCCAGATGCGAGGATTAAAAAGAGAAAGATAGAAAGCCGGTGCGTGCATCGCAATGCCATGGGAAAATTGAGCAGTGGAGAAAGAACAAAAAAATGTACACCGTTTCATTGCATTGTTTGATTCATCGCGATTTTACTTCCTGCATCATTCTAATCGTTGCGTTTTCTCATTTTTTCTTTTCAATATTGCTTGTTTCAGAATTCAACAATAACTCAAGATGGTTTACGATTGCGGCGCCTGCATCGCGAAATATTTGCTATGCATCTGGAACTTCCTATTCTTTGTAAGTATCTATTTTTTTTTGATATATTAATCAGTTCTGATGAACTTTTAAAAGTTCATATCTTAGTAAATGTTAAGCAATAGACAAATATTTTTTTGCTAAATAGATAAAGTATATTTAATTTTGTGTTTACTGATAGATGGCGCTACAATTTTTCATTTTTACATTATAATTATGAATATACCGGTTAATCGAGTCAGTCGCTTATTAGGGACAAATTCTAAAGAGCGGAAACAAAACCGAGCAAATAACAAATGAAAGTGTAACTTCGGATAATTAGGCTAACCGCTTAATCGGGACAAATATAATAGTCCTGATTAGTCCGGTTTCAAACAGTCTAGGCTATTGGCGGAACAGTTTATCCGCAATTTGCTTTATTAGTTATTGCTAGTTATTTTTTCATTCATAAATTATTTAATTTTTTGTTGATCGAGAGATGGCGCTACAAAATATGTAATATCAATGCCAACCATTAATTATTTACAGACTAATAATAAATTAATCTTGAACGGAAGATGGCGTTACAATTGAACATTGACTTATGACGTAAATTTATATAATTTACTGTACAATTATCAAACAATTATGTAATTATTTATTGATCAATCAAAAATTTCATAATTTTCTTCATACCGAGAGATGGCGTTACAATTTAATATTAATTTATACTTATTACCTCATAATTATTTTACAAAAATCGTATATCGAATCAACTAGGGTTTCTGAAAACCGGTTTTTCCAAATAAAAATCTTAAAATACATAAACTTTTTGACACAAAATCTAATTATTAAAAAAAAAACCTTGACCGCTACAATTGAATGTTAATTTTTGAATTGACATTTACAATTTATTAAACATTCGTATAATTAATAGTGTAAAACAATAATATTAACTATGTGTAGATTAGTGCATATATGAAAGAACTCAAATATCTAAAGCGCACTTCAATTCAATCTAATACAACTTTGTTGAATGACATAACGATGGGTTTATTTATTTGCGTATTGGTTACCCACACTATACATTGGAATGAAGCATATGCATTCACAAATTGCAACAGATTATTGAGATGTTCTTAGAATTATAATTACTTACTCATGGGCATTAATTATTCCATAAATAGATCATCAAACACATGTGTTTAAATACGATTTTTTGCAAAACGAGTGAGGAAATATTGCATTTTCTCATGTTTCAATTGCTAATAATAATAATAATAATTAGTGTATAGATTTATGGTCGAAAATTAAAAAAAAATAGTTTTACATTCGTCATTCCTTAATATAAGTGTGTGAATCATACACACATTTTATTATCTATGCACATTTCATTATTTACTATCTATTTGGGTGTACCACGTGGATCATATCTCGGTCTACTTTTAAAACAATGGAAGTTTTAATTAAGTTACAAATCATATGATTAGTTCAAAATTCTTAAAATAACATATTTTTCAATTACGTTCAAATATATTCAGGAATTTTATAATATTTAGGCGGAAAGGTACAAATTTGATCCAATAAAAATTGGTGTTTTTTTTAAAGTAATAATAATGTTGTATAAAATTGTGTAATATATACTGGCTAAAAAGTTGACAAAAGTTTAGTTTTTTTGTGTACTATTTAACAATTGCAATAATTAGTATGAAAATATATGTGTCATATTAAAAATAATTATAAAATTTATTATTTTTACTTAAATAATTAATTTAGTTACAATCTATATAAATGTGTTGTAAATTATAGGAAAATATTTAAGTTTTTAAAGGGGTCCACCTTCACTAAAAAATGAATACAAAATATTTGTATTTTGTTGTCTTTATATTATCATTATATTAAACTTTTTGCAAATAATTGTTATAAATTATATTAATTAAGGCTTTTAAACTAGCTCTTGGAATTTAACGAATTACACAAGAACGGTCTGGTTAGAACAAGTATATTTTATTGTACCAAATAACTCAGCATTGCAGCTAATTGAGAGTGAAAGAGAGAAAAGCAGCATTTCTTAATTGATTAATACGTCGTTTCCTCGAACTAGAATAACGACCTTTTGATTCACATATCATGCACTTCGGAAATACCATTTTAACCTACGAATTTTTCTTGCAACAAATATTTCATATAATTTATTAATATTATTTTATTATGAGGATCTACTGGAAAATTTCTCAATTCCAGAAACTGATTTTATCATATTTTTAACAGTTTTAATGATATAATTGTTTAGTACGCATGTAAATGGGTAGCTAAAACGAATAGTTATTACGTAAAGTTATTCAACTCTGGCAAGGAGTAATGTATTGAAATTGGATGTAGTATGCGTGATGGAATCATCATCATTAGAAATCGCGTGCGTAGAGGTGTACGATGATTATGCATCGATGATGTGCATCGTTTGGTGCGATGAAATCTCCAGTTTCCTGGACTCTACGAAAAAAAACAGTATAGTTTATTCCAATCTACTGAGCATCAAGATGATGAAATTTCACCATTTCCAGAATTTTATAATGTGGTTATAAATTAGCAAATTGGATGATTGTTCCATTACATCTTGTTTGCGTTTCTAAATATTTACAAAGCATTTCAACAAATTTCTTCCTACATCCTTGGATTAATTGTAAACAGACGTGATACGCGTTTTCCTGTTTTTTTTTTTTATAGGAGTTGCTTCAAATTAATGTATCTTCTATGAATAGAATATTAGAAAACGTGTAAATTTGCTTAGATTTATTGCGCAACGCAAGTAAATTATAGATGTTGTACATTCGTCGTTTGTAATTCGATGCTAATTAGTACGTTATATTGGATCAGTCTAACAACTTTCTCCCCAAACGTTTGCAACTAAGTTGCTTGGCTTCGTAGTTTCCAAAACAGGGAAGCTTACAAACGTGAACGTAATTATTTGCAATGTAAATTAATTACTATTTTACTTTCATTTGATGTTTAGCCAAATTGTTTTTGTATTATATATGACTTTTTATATTTATAGTTAAAAAAACATTTGTACAAATATACGGTTGATTCAACAAGGAAACTTGACTTTATAAAGAAAAAAAACGATCAGTGAGCCCGCATTAATTAAAGCCGCGCTATGCGAGGTATTGCTGTATGGTGTAATCATCTATGTATAATTTAATAAGATTTCCCACAGTTTGTTTATATGAAAAATGTGTATGTCGATCAAAAGGTACAAAACTCTAGGAAAACTTTTTCAATATTTTCAAATGAATGTGCTGATATTCTTGCCAAATGTTCGTTTTTCATTGATAACCTGTAAATATTAATGTTTCTATAATGTATACTTAAGGATTATAAATAGGTTTTTTTGATGGAGAAGATTAAGAATGTATAAAAAAC